GGGTCCGACTTGACGGCACATAACAACAACAATAAACAACTGGCCAGACCTAGACTATGGCATTGTGTACACAATTGAGCTCCTAGAAAGTGGCATCCCTTTTATTTGTATCCACTAGCGGTGCCCCACCCAGGCTGCACATTAGAATCACATCAGGGAGGAGGATTAAAGGTCCCAACACTCAGAATTAATTAGGAGCTCTAAGCAGCTCCCCAGGTGAGTGTATGTTGTTGTTAGATGCTATCCAGTGGATTCCAATTCATAGAGGCTCCGTGTGACAGAGCAGAACTGTCCCATAGGGTTTCCTAGGCTTAATCTTTATGGGAACAGATCACCTCCCCTGGAGCCACTGGGTGGGTTCAAACTGCCAACCTTTCACAGAGCAGCTGAGTGCTTAATCATTGTGCCACCAAGGCTCTACCTTTTATCTAGACGTCTTAAAATGTGGCAAACGTGGCAAATATTTAGTTTATATTAATGGTGGTGAAATAATTAGGAAAATGATAGGGGTTGCACAACATGTAAAGTATAATCAGTGTTACTGAATTGTACACATAGGAACCACTGAACTGGCAAGTGTTTTGTTGTGTATATTTTCACCACACACACACACACACACACACACAATCTCTGCAGGTGAGAGGCAATGGTATATATAGCAGTAATTCAGCATCTGCTCTCCAGGTGCACTACGGCCTCACTACCCAACATGCAGGGCCAGGGAGCTTGTTAGACACACAGATGCTCAGGCCACTGACTCAGAACCCACATTTTAACCTGAGGTGGTGGTTCCAGCTCACACTCCAGAGAGAGAAGCACTGATGTGAGAATCCAAATTCATTAGGGAGAAGGATCATTCCACCCGGAGAGGGAAGCATGCTCAGAGATGCAGCTGGCAGGGGCTTGTTGCAATGGGAGTGGCCGAGAACAGGCCCTTGTCTGCCACTATGATGAGAAGGGACAAAAGGCCAGGGTCCACCTACCATCTTCCAATGACACCTTTCCCAACACATCTGAAATTCCTGATCACTGGGGTCCCTAACAAGCCATCAACACACACCTCTCTGGGGCCAAGCTCTCTAGTCCTGTGGTTCTTATGGTGTGCTCCCTCAATGATGCTCCATCATCATCACCTGTGGGGTTAACTGCATTCAAAGAAGTTGGTCTTTGTCCTCAGCTCCTGAGAATCTGTAAAACTTCAGAGTTTCTCCAGTGATTGAAGGGTCTTTGATAAGACCTCCAGGCCACACCTGAAGGTTTACGCTAATGAGGTGTCTCAGATGGGGGCTAACCAGAAAGACCACTTGATCTTATCAGCTGAAGTCAGTGAGGGGAGGAGGGCTGGTTCAATCCATCATATCTATGTAATGAGACTCCAGTGAAGGCTCTGGATACAGAAGTTCCAAGGGCTTCCTGGTTGGTGAAAGACATGGACGGCTCTGGGAGGATAGTGTGTCCCTTTGGGGGACATGAAAGCTCCATGCTGGAAACCTCCCAGAACTCTCCCTACACGCCTCTTCATTTGTATCCCTTTTTCTCTATAGTAAAATTGTAATCGTAAGTACAGGCACACCTCGGAGATAGTGCAGATTTAGTTCTAGCCACCACAATAAAGTGAATATTGCAATAAAGCGAGTCACACAAATTTATGGCTTTCCCAGTGTGTGGAAAAGTTATGTATATACTATACTGTAGTCTATTAAGTGTGCAATAGCATCATGAAGAAGTTTGAACTATTGTGAGAATTACTGAAGTGAGACACGGAGACATGGAGTGAGCACATGCTGTTGGAAAAATGGCACTAATAGACTTGCTTGATGGAGGGCTGCCACAAACCTTCAAAAGCACTGTCTCTGAGGTGCAATAAAATGAAGTGCAATAAAGCAAGGTATGCCTGTATGGCACCTTCGGAGGGTTCTGGTGAATTATCAAACTCATGTCAGTAGAACGTAGGAGCCAGGAGGTCCAAAGGGAGGGGCGCTGTGGACCTCTGAACTTAATGGCTGGTATGTTGAGGGGGTAAAGGGAACCCCTGAATCTGCAGCCAGCAGGTCAGAAATGAGGGTGTCCAGGAGTTAAGCTTGGGCAGACTTGGCAGTCTGGAGGACTGTGTCCTTTGACCTTTGAGATCTGATGTCACGCTGGATGGCTCAGGTC